CGGTCAAAGCTATCCAATGACAGACAGGCACTTGATTGGAAATATCTCACTTTGATTATTATTTATTCAAGAATGACGATTTGCATAGTGTCAAGACCCAAGTCTGTGTCCTAGTTGTACATTTATAGGCTAGCGTTCAGTTTTTTTCTTTGCTAGCAGAAGTGTGATTTATGAGATGTGACCTCATGAAGAATCTGTTGAGAGCCCCCATTTTCTTTTGTCAGACTAATTGAGTGGTAGCATTAGGACGCTGTTATTTCTTGTCCTTTGCAGCACCCACTGATGTTGGGGCCACACTGACTGAGTTGCGGACAGGCTCACTCAGTCGAAGCTACGATGGCTACAACTCTCCCCTCCGGCACGAGAACAACCAATACCTTGCCACACTCCGAAAGAACTACTTTGTCTGAAAAAAAGGCTATTCTGAACCCAGAGGGTTTTTTCTGATGTTTATAACCATTTGTACATTTTCTGAAATCTATTGCTTGTGTGTGATTCCTGCTGTAATCATTTGTAAGTTTGTAGTCTTGAGAAGTATTTATCGTTTGTCCTTGAAAAAGCTTTTATGTCACTAGTCCGATAGAGAATTTCAACTTGTGTGTGATTATATTTAATGGACTGAAATTGAAGCCTTGCGTGTGTGTGTAATAATTGTATTCCTTGATAGTGCTTGTATTCTCTCCTGGGCTCTCGTTCAGTTGATTGCCAGTGATTTTGCTTTCATTTTTCTCGTAAATTGTGGGACGGTTCTCGGATAGAATTGTTCCTACCTCGCTTTGCTAGAGCTGCAAAGAATAGAAGTTAACATTGGACCATTTTTGCTTTTGCCAAAATAATTATCACTCACAGATGCAGCCATGATGTCTCCGTAGATTCTAGTGTGAGGGGAAAAATGAAGTGGGGCTAGATTCACTGATATTGACATGTCTTCAACTGTCACAAGATTTGCAGCTCAAACTGCTGAAGTTACATGGCGAATTTCATGCTGCACATGAAATGAATTTTGTAGAGGATAACTTGATTTTGAAACTCACTGGCATGCAGCTTGCTAATTGGGAAACAGCTGAAACTGTGCAATATAGTTTCATGGACGGTGGCATCGGCCACAAATGCTGAACTTGGTGCAGTATTTAAGAGAGACGTATATTTTGTCATAGATGGGCTCTAGATTGTTTTTCTGGTATAGCTTAGAGCAGGGACATGACTCAATTCATTAACAATTTCCACTTCTTGACAAAAGCCTCCCACAGTTCTACCCAGAGCATTGCTTATTTTAAGCAAAAAAAAGTGGATACAGTATTTTTTTTGCTGTCCTTGAGCATGAAACCTTATCCTTTTTAGACAGACGGGTATAAGGTCTGGCTATACCTTTAAGACTTCTGAAATTGTAAATGTGCCCTACAAAAACTCATTTTTAGTCAAATTGGTCTAAATCTCTCAAGGTGAAAGGAAAATCACAGGGAATTTGCTGGTGCAAAACCCCTGAAAGCCAGATTGGGAATGGAAAATCCAGCCAACTTACCAACTTTGGGTCACAGGACATGACTCGGGTCTTGTAGTTTGAAGTGAAGAAGGCAATGTCTTGGCCAGTCTGTTGAGCAACTCCTAAGGAAGTGAGGTTAGCATAGCAGTACTGTCGTTGCCTTCCATGTTTGTGACATTAGGTTCAAATCCCACCCAGGCTGACATGTAGGTTGGGTTTGACTCCTTACGTGATTCCATGGTTTCCCCTAGACTGTTTAGGGTTTCGTCCCACCTCTAAAACTGAGTAATTCTTCACTGTGCCGCCCTAAAAGGGACCTTTGAAAAACAGTTCATAACTAGTAAGGCGTCACTCTGGTTAAATAAAAATTAAAAATTGATAAGGCCTTTGCTGATCTAGTATTCCATTGATCCTGCTTAGGCACATTTACAAGATGCTGATGTTGGATAAGAACTTTGGGAGAGATCTTCGACCAAGGCTTTGCTACTGCTAGTTAAAACCACTACAAAAATGTGTCTTTTTTGTATCACATTGCAAATTAATCCTGTGACTTCTAGAGTTCCACTGTCCAGTTATTCAAAGTTCCGATTTTGACAGTTTGTGTTATCAGTTTTCCTAAATGAGGCAGTCACTGTCAAAAACGATGTCTTGAAAAATGAAAATAGTACTAATATTTTGTTGATATTTTGAAACAGAAATAACTTTCGTTTTATATATGAAGAATTATATCTCATACATTCATTGTATGTCACCTTGTTCCAAATTTCAAACGTCCACCCTAGAGCTTGAGTAGTTTATGTTCTCAAATTTTGCTTGAATTCTTTCCCTCCAGGGTGATTCATCTTAAAATTGCAGTTATTTATCCAAATCTAAGGTTGGTGCTCAGATTCCTCAAATAAAAAAAAACTTGCCAGTCACCTTGATGAATTCCGTCCAAGTAACTCGAACGAAAAGTTATCTTTTTAATCATCCTAGTCTCCTTTTGGCATTTTATCGAATTCTGCGAAGGCCTTTTTTCACTGTGGCAGTTAGTGTTAAAGAGAAGCTTTTTAAAATGTACTATTTATTTATTTATTTGGTATTCCAGTAGTTGAAATTAACTGTAGTCTTGGGCTTGTTTGTAGAGCTCTTGTACCTGTAGGTGTGTAAAAAACTTTAATTATTGACAGACAGTGCCTCGTATATAATTGAAAATTTCTGTAAGGTTGCTGAAGTGTTGTCAGGACCAGTGGCCACATGGTATATTGAAAAATTCCTCCAAGCGATTGAAAATGAACCATTTGATGTTCAAGCCGACCAAAATATATCGGGCTGCGGGGAGGAGGCAAAAATGGTAGTTTGCTTACTGTTGGACTCAGGCTGGTATTGGCTGACAAAAAACCTGAAACTGGCCAATGGACTGTGGTTTGCATATTCATGACGGGAATCCATTCACTTGAAGCCATAGTGGAGGCCACGCACAGTCCTACTAGGAATTGACCATGTGTTTGCATGTTGGTCAAATCAAGACTTCTGGACCAAATTATTCCATAGTGGTTCACACTGTTCGAGAGAAAACAGGTATTGAATGAAACAAACCATATTGAATCTTTATTGAATTTGAAGTCTGAAGAGCAAGTGCAGTTGACAATATTTTGATGAATTTAGGTCAATTGGTGTATTGTTATATTGTTCATTTGTGTCTTTTGGACACTTCCAATTTGATGGTCATGTATCCGTAATATAGCTTTCAAAACAGAATTTCAATTTATTACTGGTTAGTAAGGTTCCTAATATGGAGCACTTACGTTTGACCTTGACGATCAAGTTCAAATGAGCATTCAATTAAACTACATGATTTGCATACATGTATAATTCATAATTTGACCGATCCACATGTACAAGGGGGATAGCTCAATGTGTTCACTGTTCCTAAGCCATGACTTCAGGTTTTACCACTGGCACATCACAGTGGCTAGCCACAGCCACAGCCCAGTGTTTATTGGCTCTCAGAGATTAACTGAGGCTGACTTGGAGCCAAATTCCAAATTGTTTTCTGACACTTATATACCAAGGCAGACGTCGTAGTATTGCTCACAGTGTTGTTTTTGTATCATTCTTGCAAACTCCGAGACAATGAAGTTTTGACTTCGTTACACAATAGAAGTGCCATTGGGTTCCTCGACTTTATTTTTTAAGAATGACAGTGCAGTAGCTAACTCATGTTTTATTCAACACACAAAAGCCAAGGACAGTTCATCGATCAACTCCAGTACAGGGTATTGTCAACCAAACTTCAAGGTTCTTTTGTACGATTGTATTTACATTTCCACGTAGCTGCTTAAGTTTAATAATCCGTTTGCATTAGCTTTTGTTTTTCTTGTACTAATTAATAAGTATTATTAAATGAATAACAATTCTATAATGTATTACCTATGGAGTGTTAATGTAATAAAACAAATACATATTACTTTAGATAATGAGACTTTGTGGATATCATTTGTTCATTAGTGGCTTGTATTCAGATTAATGGAATTTCACTTTTGTCATTTTCCCCATTCTTTTTATTATGTCTACAGCACAAGATCCACATGTTACATCGATGACCCAATGCATGTGATCTTATGTCCGAGAGTGCTGAAAAGCTGAAATTAGTAAATATATTAAAGTTACCAGTCAAACTTTATTTCAATGACCAGTTCCGAGTCAATTTAGTGAAGCGCAAGGATTTCCTCACCCGTCCGTAACACATCTAACTACACTCTTTGATCTTGCCAGGTTATCACAGTATTACACATCACTCCCCAAAACAATTTGTTGCCTTCTGGTGTGCGTACCAGTTGTTGAGATTGAGCAGTCTGGTGTAATCTGTTGGAAGTTTTGTGCAGGGATGGTGAATGTTGTTCGATGATAGACTGTATTTCATGGTGCAGTGCACAATCTGGTTTTTAATATGTCAAGGTGGATCGGGGGAGGGGGGGGGCTGAAGCCATGCCCCCCAACAATTTTGGCCACCTCCAAAACTTTGGTTCGAGATTTGCAGTTGGGTGTTTAGCCATGTAGCAAGACAGAGATTTTATTGGTTGCCACAAACAGTGACAATCCTTTCCTGTGGTCTTCAGGAGCAAAGGTTTCGAGCATGGATATGCATGAAAGGCGGTGCTCATGTGCAAATGTGTAACGTGACCCAACATCTGAGGTCACACAGGTGATGATGCATTGGCTATTCTCTACGCCTACCTGCTCTGTGCAGAAGCACCCCCTCGCAGTCAAAAAAGAGAGAGATTGGTTGCAACTGTTTCAACTGGGCACCCAGTGCCAATTAGAGTGTTGTTCATTTGTGATTCCAACAGAAATCCTTCACACACTCCGTGCGGCCTGCACTAAGCACGAATGAACCTGTGTGTGCTCATGGTGTGTCCCAGACAGATGTTAGTCAGGTGTCAAACCAAGCTATATCCACTTCCTCCACGGATTGGACAGCAGACGGGTTGAGGTACTTGGCATAACGACCCTATATCAAATACATTTTGGCATGGTGCCTAAAGAGTTTACTCCTGGCTGGACAACAGGGGTGCGTTCGCGCGGTTACTCCTGTCAACTAGGGTGAGGATGTGTCGCAGGTCAGGAGTATACTCCAGTATGACGGGGAGTATACTCTCGCTGATCCGTGGGGCGTACTCCTGCTGTTTGTGCGCTTCGGGGGAGTACTTGTGTTAACGTGAGTAGCTCGCTTGAATGCCCCCTGGGTGATTGAAACCAACGGCCTTCATCTTTCACTCCTTCGATCCTTCCTGTTCGCTGCTACCGCCAGGGCTCTCGGCGGCAATTTCCTTGGCTTTACATCTCTTCAGGACGTAGACACATGCAAACAGTCCGCCGATGTTGATGGTCAACTGTAGCTGCTTCTTCCAGACTGAGTTCACCTTCTGAAGAATCTGGAAAATGAGGTATCATGAAAAGAAAATCAAATCAAACAACAGCTTGGCATGAGTACGTACAATTGCTAAATATCATTTCTAAAATTGACAATACTTTCACGTAGGCCATGGATTAATTTTAAAACAAATAATGGCTTCACAACAAAAACATTTTCTATTTACAGATTAAGGGCTGCACTGTTTAATTTTATATTCTATTCATACTGGTCAGCGAAAAGTGTCATAAAATAAACAAAAAAATACTAAAATTGATTATAATCATGCTCTTTGTTACGCCGTACTGTAGCATTGTAGTGTCTTTTACTAGTCACTGGACCAAATCTGTCAAAATCCAACTCTCCCTTTGCAGTCCGCATTTCTTGCTAAGAAATCTACCACTGGCATGATCGTCTTCACTGATGGACCTATTGCAGATGGCTTACGTGGCATCCTCAGTGCTGTTGCCATGACAACATGCACTGAATGCCCTGGCAATGCTTCAGGCCTCCTGGACCAAGTCCATCAGAACTTATCAATATTTGGTCACCTCAGGCTTTCTGGACTGAGTCCAAACAAAATCCGCCAAAAGGTGGAAATGGATTTTGATGGGTTTGGGGTGGTTAAGGTTAATAGGAAGCTACCCTGTACATGTCTTGTCCAAATGTGCTATGTCCAATATATTCCATTTAATACGACTACCATAGAAGTTATGACTATTCTCTGCTAAGTTGTTAATTAACCCCTTAGCGCCGGGTGACCCCATATGGGGGGATCTTCTGATCCACACAGCCGGGTGGCCTTATTTGGGGACAGGACTGACTGCTATGAGTTACCATAGGCTTCAATCCGCCTATTGTGAGGTACAATGTCATGAAGTACCGCAGCGCTCTCGGCCAGCCTGGCCGACGAACACGTCGCCCAGCCTGCCCATTGTTTTTTCGTTCCTGGCAGGGCTGCAGGCAAACAAAGAAGCCGTTATGTAACACCACAATAAACATAACAATGGCATATTTTGAATAAAATTATGGTGAATACGAATGTCAAAATCAAAATCATAAAGCACGGCCCGGCAGCTTGTAATTCAAGGGAATTTTTTACCCGGTGTTAAGCAGTTAAAAAGGATTCCTGAAACTGGAATCCGAATGTGTATATGGAGGTTTTTCAAAACTGAATGGCCTGACCTTACCTTAGCCATGCATTTCTTGTCTTGTGTGAGCAACACTGCTTTCCCGGTACCCTGTTGACACACTCTTCCCATCTCTAGGAGGCTACGTCGGTACAGCTCCCAGTTGTTCAGCCGGCTTCCAATCCTGTTGGATGAAAAAAGTCATAACCTGGCTCATTCAAAAATCATTGGGGAAGCGGCATCTCAAATTTCAAATCCTGTCTTATGTGGCCCTATAATCTAGACTTCAACAGAAACCAATTTGAACCTGATGTAAAGAAAAAAACAAAAACTAGAAGCATTGGTATAAATACTAAATTTGGAGGCTTGAGGGCTTCAAGGTGGTTCAGTAGAGGAGACTTTCCAAACCCTGCAAGGAATCTTGTGGTGTGACATTGCTAGAAGCCAACATTTATCACTCACAACTACACCTCTTCAAAATGAACACTTGCTAAGTAAATCTCTCAGAAAATGTATTTCTGGCCAAAGTTACACCTCTTCTTGAAAACCCATCCATGCAAGATGAAAAGTTATCACCAGGTCATCTTACCTTTTTCCAAACGGCTGGTAGATTCCCAGGAGAGGATTGCACATTTTTACATCAAAGACAAAATGAGAATTGAGCTATTAACGTCAGTGAGCTTTAAAATCAGTGTCCATTTGCATGAGAAATAGATTGTTAAAACATTGTCAAAGAGACAAAAATGCCTTCTACTGTTTGTTCTGACCCCTTTTGGGGGTGGGAATTGGGTAAGGTTGGAACCAGTATAAAGCAGTTAGTAATAAGCTACAATTTTCGTCAAAATGCACTTTCAATCTAGTTTTCACCTGTGATTGCTTATGTATGGTTCGATGGCACTGCAGTGGTTTTAAACACTGTAGTGTTACAACTATCTCTGTCTTGTTCCTGACAATTAAATGCACCCTCTTTGTATCATTGTACCACCTCATTTAAGGTACCTAACTATTTTAAAACAATTTTATGCATTGCTTTTAGAAGGCACATTTGAAACCATACCTTTACTGATGTCCAACAAATGGAAGCTGTATTCTTACCATGTCAGACACAATGAGATCTAATGAATTGGTGCGTAGGGGGAGGTTGGTAACATCCCATCGCAGAACATCCACACATACTCCAGGCCTAGAAAAAAAAACCCAACTCCAATTATCTAATGAGGCAATGGGATGGGTTAATTACGCAAATTCAAAATGAAGACGAGAGAGATGACGATAAAAATTTTGCTATTGCAGATTTTCTTCTTTGGACCAACAAGCAAATGAAAATTTACAACGATGGAGTTGTAACTGTCAAACTCTGAGAAAGGTCAAGACGTGACATGCTTTCCCCAAGCCATTTGTAAATGCCCTATGCTCTTTTCATTTATAAATCAGACATGCAACTTGGACTTCGACAAAAAAAAAAGAGAAAATTCCAATCCTTACAAAACTTTGTACAGGTTTTTTTTTACTTTTCAATGGCATGAGTGTGAAGTAAAAAATGAGGAAATCAGCTGATCCGAGGAAAAGTAGCATGCCCGATAAATCTGTTTAACATCTACCAAAAATCTAAGTCATCTGACGATGAGCTAACAGATAAAGGTAAAGTAGTGAAATCACAATACACCTTCGCTCAATAGAGTTACTTTTTTTCTTTTCTTTTTTTAAAGTCAAATTCATGCCTAGATATCCTTCAGTACCTTCCGTCTGATCGTCTCTTCTCATTTACGGCTGAGACGTTTCCGCCTGCGTAGAGACAAGCTACATCATGATTGTCCCCACCCATGACGAAACATGGCCAGTTCTGAGCAGCCTAGGAGAATTTAGAAATTGTAACACTTAGTGCTTGCCCAAAGTCATCAGCAAACGCTGCACTCAGACACTTCAGAATGGTTCTACAATCTCCCCCAATGCACAAACACGGCAACATGTTCCTTGGTTGTGGAAACATAAACTCAAACCTTTCCTAACAACAAGCCCCCATGTCAAGCAGTGGTGGCCGGGCTCTGTTTTTCCACATCCAACAAAATCCTAATAGCCTCTTGGTAGATTTTGTGGGATCGTGGAAGGAGTTAAGGTAAAGGTTAAACTTTCAAGTACAGGTAAAAGTGGTGTCGAAACTTTCAATGCATCTACAATTCCAAAGTCTCTTTTCAGCAGACGGCTTTGGGCAGATCTTGGAGCAAGTTTGAAAATGAACTATGGTTAAAATAGTAGTCAACATATTCCCAAACAGAGCATGCGTATGAGAATTCTGTCCCCTTGACTGCCTTTGTCGAAGCACAATTACAAGTTGAAGCATTGTCACCCATACTCGTGAGTGACAGTGAGTGATAACGGCTGCATTTCTCACCACTTTCATTATCTGTCATCTTGTACAACGATTTTCATTTTAGATTTTCCTATGTACCCAAGTAAGAGAGAGTCTTTTGTGAACCAGGAATGCAACTGTGTTCTGTGATCTAGGTCCAAATACGTGCTGACTAACACCTTGAATTTAACCCCTTCAGGGCGGAATTCTTTTGACCGCGACTGCT